GGGGGAGAAGGTGTCTTTCAACTCGCCCACTTGCCTTAAGCAATTAGAGGGGGATGAAAAGGAGGAGGATGAAGGGGGGGGGAAGGACGTGGGTTGTTTTTTTTTCCTTCCAGAAGCTGAGCTGCCTGCCTGGGCTGGCCCCCGGCCCAGATACGGCGCCTGACGTGTGACTGACAGCTGTCTGCTTCCACGGGGCGCCTGGCAGAATATGCAGGGCACGGTTGCGAAGGAGGTGGCCGGAACGGCGGGTGAGTCACCCAAAGGATGTCTGGAGGACACGCTGTCGCCGGTCGAGGTCATCCGAATTCGTGACGTCCTCCCAGGGCTGCCTAGTTGGCGCCTCTCGGCGTTTCCAGCCCTTCCTTCAGGCCCCGCAATGAAACCACGCCAGGATTCGGAGCTCCGGGTTGCACCGTGCCCACCGCAAGTGGCCCATGTGGCTTTTCCTCGGGGGCACAGCCGGGGGAGGAAACATTTCCCATGTTTTCCTCGTGCGCCGCATGAGAGCGAGAGGGGCGGCCTCAAAATTGGATATAGGAACACCCATTTATGAGATATAAATAAAGAGGCAGCTTGGTCTAGCGGTTGGGGCATCAGGCTAGAAGGCGGGAGGCCGGGAGTTCAAGTGCCACCGTAGCCCTGAAAGCCAGCGGGGTGACTTTGGGCCAATCCAAATCAGGAAGTGATTTCTAATCCCACCCTCACTATTAAAACCGGCTGCAAATTTCCCTTTATCTCATCTCCAGGCCCCTTGCAACTGAGGGAAGGGGGGGAAACCAGGGTACCTGGGCCCGGCCTGAACAGCTCAGCCTGGCAGGCACAGCTCCCTTGCCGGAGCCCCAGGGCGAGCGTCCACACCGGCCTTTTCAACTGCTTGTCTGCCAAGGCTTGTACGCCTGGAGGGATCCTCCGGCAAGGAGACGGCGGCCTTTGATCCCCACCTTGAGTCGGGGAGGGGACAGGACTTGCCGGGGTCCCTGGGAGGAAGGCAGAGGCGCCTGGTTTGTGTGGAGGGGGGGGCGTGCAGAGGAGCCGGACGGAGCTTAATGCCAGGGAGATAAATGGCATTCTGCAATCCATGTCTTCCCGGCTGCCGGGCAACCTCACAATGCCAGGCTGGAGCCCGGCCACCTGGCCGACGGGCGCTTCCGTTTCCCCACCTCGCCAGGCGCCCCGGAGATGTCCTTTCCTTCAGCTCCCCTTTCTTCGGGCTTCCTGGCCGTTGGCATCCCCCCCTCCCCATCCTTCCCCTCCTTCCCAAAACTGCACTTCAATTTCCTCCCACCCTGTTCTGATGCTTTCCGTTGTGTTAACATGTTTCTTATGTTAAGCGTATATGAACTATATAGCATGTATGTAGTGGTGCTTTTCAGAGTCTGCAGGGTTGACACCCCACCTCCCCTCCACAGCCTGTGACCTCCTGGGAGGGGGCTTCAGGGTACCCTAAGCGGAAACCCCAGGCCCACTTTTCTTCCATGCGTCATCAACCCTGTGATCTCTCCTCTGCCCGCTAGGTATGCAAAACGGACAGGGGTTAATAGGTACTCTGTGTGTGTGTGTGTGTGTGTGTGTGTCTGTAGCATGTGAATGTGTTAGGTATGGGGAGGTATATACCGTATTTTTGTGGATTATAAGACGCCCCTAAATTTGGGGGGGGGGAGGTTTTTGGCCTCTGCGTGCCTCATTTTCGGCCCTTTTGGGGGGCTTTTTTATATCCATTTTCAAGACTTTTTCGGCCCGTTTTGGGGGCTTTTTCTGACTATTTTGAGGGTTTTCTCAGCCTGTTTTTGAGGTCTTTTGGCCACTTTTTGAGGCTTTTCTTGGCCTTTTTTGAGGCTTTTCTTGGCCCATTTTTGAGGTTTTTTTTGACCCGTTTTGAGGCCTTTTACAGCTGTTTTTGAGGCTTTTTTCAGCCCATTTTTGAGGCTTTTCTCAGCCTGTTTTTGAGGCTTTT